TTTCAGTCCGCAGATCGATGCTCTACCACTGAACCAAACCGGTTTCGGCTGAGGTTTTTTTTTTAAATATATATTTCATTGATTTTTTACAGAGAGGAAGGGCGTTATAGAGAGTTAGAAACATCGATTAGCTGCCTTCTGCACACCTCCTACTGGGGATGTGCCTGCAATCAAGGTACATGCCCTTGACCAAAATTGAACCTGGGACCCCCGGTAGGGCTGGTCTGTGAGTTTGACATGCTTGCTTTAGAGTATCAAGATTGGAGAAACCGAATTTTCAGTTTGGGGGAATAAGAGCATGTTATCATACTAGCTTCAGAAAATGTTTCTTCCAGTTCAGGTTCTGTCATTGACTAGCTGTATGAACTTGAACATGCCACTTACTTTTTCTGAGTTCAAACATAATTCTCTTCCCACCAAGAAACTAATTAATGCACATTTACTTGTTTTCTCAAACCTATTTTGGTTGTTCATCATATTTTATCCCGATTTGTTAACCAAGTGCCTAAAATAAGTATCTAATAGTATCCTCTTCTCTAGATTATTTCAAATTACAACCCACTTATTTAGACTGGTTCTAAGCTCTCATCTGTCTGTTCTTCTATGCTTCTAGGTTACTCACATTCTTAAATTCAGTTTCTTTATACTAGACTGTCAATTCATATACTTATGTCTAGAAGTTCATCAGTTTTCATTGCGTTTACATTGACAACTCTGTTAATTACAAGCAACAAATCCCCCATAAATTTGAACTATTTCAATAATTTTCATTCTTTTCCCTCTGACCTAAATAATCTTAGTTTATGGCTATCATTAATTTTGTGTGATTAATATCTTAAGATAAATCAAAATTACTTTTTCATTTTTTTCTAACAATGACTATATACAATCTAGTAAGCTTCTTAAACTACCTCATTTGGTTACAAGCTGAAAAGGAAAGCAGATGGGGGAAATAAAGATGACAAGCTAATGCTACCTGTTGTAATTATCCCTGTCTTCCTTTCCTCAGTCTCCTCAATGCTCACTCTGAGCCCTCATTTCCATTTCTACTTCTACTCCAATAGATCAATTTCAATCCACTCTAACATTCTTCTACTGACCATCTATCACCAAACACAGCACAGTACCTGCGTTTGGGTTCCAGGCCCAATGCTAAAGCTATAATATAAAATAGAGTAAGATGACTTAAATCCTGCCCACAAAGCAGGCATATACTAAAGGAAAAGGCCTCCTAGTCATTAACATTATAAACACAATGTAAATATCCAGATTGATATACTAAAATAGAGGCATTGTTTTTAGGATATCAAGTACATGTAAGTAATTAATTTAGTAACCAGTTTACTACCCTTTGTTTTAACTGCATCTTAACCAGGACTACAGAGGACAAAGCTTAGTTTGATAAACTGTACTCTCTCAGAATATCCTCCAAGCTTTCCCTCATTACCTCAACACACAAATATCTCTACACCACTGCTCATCCTTTCTTTCTTCCCATTGTCCACCTATTCAAACACTTGGTCTTATTTTGCACTCATTAAAATTATCACAACAGTGTATAATGTGAAGAGCACCTTCTAAATTTGAGGCTTATAAAGATATAGGCCCTGGCAGATTTGGCTTAGTGGATAGAGCATCAGCCTGGGGACTCAAGGGTCCCAGGTTCGATTCCGGTAAGGAGCATGTACCTTGGTTGCAGGCACATACCCAGTAGGGGTTGTGCAGGAGGCAGCTGACCGATATTTCTCTCTCACTGATATTTCTAACTCTCTATCCCTCTCCCTTCCTCTCTGTAAAAAAATCAATAAAATATATATATATATTTTTAAAAATATGGGAATGGGTATATGGTCTATGTTCCAGACTTATTAAGAATACTTTCCTTTAACCCCACTGTGACTTGCAGAGCAGATGCTCAATGAGTGTTTGATTTAAAAATCTCTGGTGACACATGAAGAATTACTCATTACACTAATACTAAGTATCTCATAAAAGCTAAATTAAAAATAATTACAACCTGCACATGAGGAAGTAGTGGAGTGGAGAGGTTGAGCATGGCCATTAAAGACAAATTGCCTGACTTCTAATCTAGTCTTGTCACTTAACTAGCTTTGTGACCTTGAGCAAGATACCTGTCTGAGTTCCTCAATCTTCTCAACTATAAAATGGGATAAAAGTAGGGATTACTTAACTCCTGGGTCACTGTAGTTATAAACTAGCATAGTGCTTAGACCAGAACCTGATACATGGTAAGCCCTAGACTCAATAGTAGTAGTAGCACTGGTATCACCCTCAGAGGAAAACCTAGATATATAGTCTTTATTTATTGGTTTGTGTTTGTTTTGTTTTGTTTTGTTTTGTTTTGTTTTGTTTTGTTTGGGGGGAGGGGGATGGAAAGGAGGAAGGAGGAGAGAAAGAGAGACCATCCATTTATTACTCCACTTATTTATGCATTCACTGGTTGCTTCTTATATGTGCCCTGAGGGAGATCAAATCCAAAACCTTGACATACCTGGAGGATACTCTAACCAACTGAGCTACATGGCCAGGGCCTGAATATTTTTTTCAACCAGAAATACAAACAGTAACACCTTTCACCTTTCATAGTTACAAAATTCTTTTACAGAAGGTGTAGACCAGGAATGGAAAAAACAGGCATGTTAAGAGTTCTACTTTGACTTATCTGTGGAATCTAATGAACAAAATGAACTGACCAACAAAATAAGAACCAAAGCATGGAGGATGGAACAGACTGGCCCACACTGATGTGGGAATGGGGAGACGAGAAGAGATAAACCAGAGAACTTGCATAGTTATATGCATAGCCCATGGACAGGGGCAATAGGATGGTGAAGACCTGGGGGGATGAGGAGGGTTTAGGAGGAGTAAGGGGGTGCGGGGGTAAAAGGGGAGAAAATGGGAGACATCTGTAATACTATCAACAATAAAACATTTTTCAAAGTTCCATTTGGGGCAATCGCTCAGTTTTTAATACTGGCTCTGCCATTAGTCAGCTATATACTAGTATATAACCTTTGACAAGTAAACACAGGCAAGTTAGTTCACCTCTCTGAGCCTCAATTTCCTAATCTGTAAAACTCGGTACCACCAATATCCCAGGAATGCCCCAAGAATAAGGAGTCAAGGCACCTAAAGCAACAAGAACAGGGCCTGGCACACTGTCAAGCTTGTATTTTTGTTCTCCCCCCACCCCCTTAACCCCACATCTTACAGAGAGTATCTCATTTAATGCACATCCCAGTACCATGAAGTTCATATTAGATTGAAGCATATGAAAAACAAATGACTTCTGGCAAATTCATATGGTTCAACCTAATATTGTATCATTCACAAATAGAGAAAATAAGCTCAGCATGCTTACATGACTTACAGTCATATGCACAGTAATGGAGCTAAAACTTGAAAAAAACAGTTTACTAATTTTTCATTTGCTCAGCTTACTAATTGGTTCAACAAGTCCTACTCAGGATGGGAAAAAGGAAGATATAATAACCACAATAATACATGTTCAACTACTATAACCTACAAGTTTTTGTCTGCCCTATTAAAAAAATGAAGGAGACCTAGATTTCTAAGAACTTTTAATTTTCAAATTCTTTGTGCAGTATCTATGTTGAGGAGAGACAAGTTTAGGAAAAGTTAGAGGGTAAAATACTGAAGGTCTTTGCAGATACATTAATTCAAAAAGTACAATTGGATCTAATTAAAAACCCCACTAACTACAAACCCTATAAGCAGCTAAACATCAAATATCCATCAATACCACAAATGTGTTGTTTGCCAAACACATAAGGAAGAGTTGTAGCAAATGTATCCATTTTGATTAAAAAAAGTATGCACTAATATGTAATTTTGCTGTAGTGAAAAAAATAAAAGGCTTTTCTTCTACCAATAACAAATGTACTATTGTAGTAAAATTGTATATAATTGCTAAATTCATTGCTATAAATTCCACAGGGGCTTTAGGATTAGATCAACTAAGCCAACACTGGGACATAATGTCTGTCTAACCAGGCTGCACAGGACTACTAGTAAACAACCAATGTTAGCAGAACAAGGCCCCATAAAACCGGTTGATTATTTAACGACATAAAACATTCACTAGGACTGATCTTCCAATCTATTCGGTCTCTTTTCTCCTTGACGTGTCAGTAACCTTAAAAACAAAAACAAAAACAAAACACAAAAACAAAACACACACACACACACACACAACTGCATGAACCACAGAATAAAAAACTGGGTCTTTCAACAGATTTTACAATAGAACAGTATTGTTTTAATCCTCTTAGCAGCCTGCCCAATTATGTAAGTATTCTATGGCAGAAGATTACAGGGCTCTTTCCTGAATCAGGTAGCGCTGGGGCAGGCTACATTTCCTCCAAACTCAAGCGCCTCTTAGGAAGCCATACGAAGTCAGCGGTCTTCATTTACAAGACCTGACCCTTTGGCCAATACAGATTTTTATTTTATTTTTTTTAATCCCAAAGCAAACTGGCAACTCTCCACGTGCTGCAGGATCCCACCCACCATCACTTCTAGAATCCATTCATCTCGCTTCTCCCCATCACCCCCCCGCGGTCCGGTGAGCTGTCATCGCTGGAAGCAGCGGTGTAATCACAATTACGTCGGTGCAGCGCGTCCCAACTCCCAGAAACAAAAGTCCGGCTGCCTCCGGGCGCGACGCCGGCGGCCGCTCCTGCCCGCCAGGTCTCGTCAAACCGCCCGAGCGGGACCCTCGGGATGGGGTCGGGCAGGTGGCTCAGTGAGACCCCCGGGTCCATGCCCCCCGCTTCGCCCCGCCCCGGCTGCCGCGCAGCTCCGGACTTATCGGGGGAACTCTCTCTCTGGAACCCCCTCCAGGGCCCCGGCCCGGCCCCGGCCCCGGCCGCGCGCCCCGCCGACAGGTAACCCGGCTCCGAGTCCCCGGCCGCGGGCGGGCGCTCGGGCGGCGCAGTTACTGAGTAACGAGCCCGCACCTGGGAGGAGGGGCGGGAGGGGGGGGCGCGGCGCCCCCGGGGGTGCCCCGATGCCGGAGCCCAGCGCCCGAGGAACTGTTCGGAGAGCCGAAGCCCGCCAGCCCGGGCGAGAGGGCGCACCCGCCGGGTCCCGGCGGCCGGCCGGACCCCGCGCACCGCGCCCTCTGCGGCGCCGCACCTGCACCTGCCGCGGCCGCCCTCAGGGCCGGCCGGGGAGGCGGGGTGCGGGCGCCCATGGGGCGGCGCTCGGCGCCCCGGCCTCTCTCGCGCGCGGCTGCACTCACCTGAGGAACCCGCGGCGGCCGCTGCCCTGGCTCAGAAGCGCTCGCGGAGCCCCCACGGAGCGCGCCCCGAAGCCGCGAGAGGGTGAGGAGGCCGCCGGCGACGCCGCTACCCTCGGCCGCGGCGGGCGCACTGCGCTGGGGACCGCCGAGGGAGTGCGGACTGCGCCTGCGCCGGAGCGGGGCCGGAGCGGGGAGCGGCCAGGAGGCGGAGGGGGCGGGGGCTGGCGCTAGGGGCGGGGCCTTATGGGAGGGGCGGGGCCAGAGGGACCCACGCGCACGCGGGCCCCTGGCTCCAGGCGGGGCTCTGCGCAGGTGCCGGGGCGAGGGTTGGGGGGCCCTCCAGGTGCCTCAGCGGGCGGTTTCCCTGGGAACCGGGCGAGCCGGCCCTGGACAGCGTCTCCTTGGGCTGGGCGGGCGGTCCCTGGGTCACTGCGAGGTGATGGGCTCACAGGAGTCGGAGATGAACTGTGGGTGTGAGTTGAAGACTGCTAACCAACCTGAGACCCGGCGTTACACCTTCCCGCGTGTGTGTGTGTGTGTGTGTGTGTGTGTGTGTGTTGAGGGAGGTGGGAGGGCAGGGGGGGAGGAAGGAGGGTTCCATAGAACCCAGATCCCATCATTCCAGCAGCTGCTAGAGCATTCGAGAATGTCTAGAATGTCGTTTCTGTACCTGCCGTCTCTCATCTTTTGTGTCATCTGTTACCCAACTTCCACCCCACTTTAGGGCCTCCAAATAGGAACAGTGAAGCTGCAGAACCAAGCTCCCAAAATCTGATTTTTTTTTTTAAAGGCAGTCGCCCTATGTTTGTTTTTTTTTTTTTTTATGTTTAGTAACCGGGATACGGGGATCCGTGCAGTTTATGCGATTCACATCTGGAACAGGACCGTCCTTCTGCATGTTGGTCACATCTCTCAGAGTCAGTGGAGAACGGGGCATGTGCATGTCCGTGGGAACCAGAATTCCTGGGTTGGAATGTGCCACCTCTGGCTGTGTGACCTTGGGCAAGGTGATCTCTAATAGCCCCGATGTTCTCACAGTAAAGGGGCGTATGTAAGAGCGCCTACCTCTCTGAGTTGTTGACAGGTTAAATGGTTTTATACATGTAACGTAGTGTGCTGCATGACACAGAGTGCCTAATGAATATTAGTTTTAACCTGATTACTATTATCATCCACCTACAGTCCAAATAGAAACTTAGAAAGATGTTATTTACTCTTTTATACCACATCTCCAATATATCAATTCCTAGCCATTTTAATTTCCAAATAATTTTTAAATCTATCTCATCTCATATTTATGCCACCAAATATGACCTTCCTTATTAATGGATCCTAACTATTCTTTCTTATATTGTGTCATTCATGTCATGTCATTCAAACATTTATTGTGCTCCATCTATGTGCCTATTGCTGGACATGGGAACAGAGACACCATTACAATCTCTAGCTCAAAGAATCAAACCCAGTGCGGGAGACAAATATGTCAATAACAACTAAGTGGAATCAATAAACTCAACACACAGCAAATTAGTTGGGTTCCCCAATCTTGCCATACTCTCTCAAGCATCTTGCTTTTGTGTAGGCTGCTCCTTTTTCTTGTTACATCCTGAACCTCCACCTCTTCCTTACCTGCCTAATTCCTGCTTATCCTTTACCATTCAACCCTGGTATCAATTCCGTTGTCAACCCTTACCCATGGCTTGTTACCCAGCCCTGTCCTATCCACACACCTGTAAGAGGTAGGTGCCCCTAACTGTGTTCCCATAACACCTTATCTCTTTTTAGCACTTATCCCATAAAATGCTAATTGTAGTTTTATTTTTCCAATTCTATGAGCTTCTTGAGAACTGGCACAAGGACTGCTTCAATAAATGCAGAATGAATGGGGAAATGTATGGAGATGTACTGTGTAGGTACATAAATGTTTAGAGGACAGGTCCTATAATATACCCTGCAAAGGATCTACTAGGTGTACTGGTTAATAATGCGGATTTTTATTCAAAAGATGGAGTTACACATATGTTGATATATGTGCAATTTGATATGTATGCCATTTTGTTGTATTGATAACAAGCTTCAAAACTTCACATGTCAAATTTTCTGAAGGTGTTAACAGTATAGATATTTTACGCTTAAAAATGTCGAATTTCGTGCCAAAAAAAGGAGTATTTGCGGGAAGTTTTAATTCATTATTTTATTTTGAAGAAAAGTGCTGCTGAAAGTTATCATATACTTCGGGAAGCTTATGGTGAACATGCTTCATCTCAAGATACTTGTGAATGCTGCTTACACACTTTAAAAGTGATTATGTCTATGTGAAAGTCAAAGAACGTCCAGGTCAACCGAAAAAGTTTGAAGACCAACAATTACAAGCATTGTTGGATGAAGATGCATGTTAAACAAAAAGACAACTTGCAGAAAGATTAAATATTGCTCAGCAATTTCCGATCATTTACAAGCAATGGGAAAGATTTTACAGGAAGGAAAATGGGTGCCACATCAACTGAACGAAAGACAGATGGAAAACTGAAAAGTCATCAGTAAAATGTTGCTTCAACTATCGATACACAAAAGGAAGTTTTTTTGCATTGAATTGTGACTGGTGATCAAAAGTGGGTTTATTTTGAGAATCCCAAATGCACAAAATCATGGTCAACCATCAACATCAATTGCAAGGCCAAATGGCTTCAGAAAGAAGACAATGCTCTGCATTTGGTGGGATCAGGAAGGTGTGGTGTATTAACCCATCTGCCATATTTATCAGACCTTGCTCATTCAGATTATCACTTGTTCCAATCAATGGCACACGCACTTTCTGAGCAGCACTTCAAAATGTACAAAGAAGTGAAAAATTTGGTCTCTGAATGGTCTGCCTCAAAACAAGAAAAGTTCTATTGGGATGGAATTCACAAATTACCTGAAAGATGGGGGAAATGTGTAGCTAGCAATGGACATTACTTTGAAAGCACTTTTGATGTTTCTCTTGAAGTTATCTTTTTTGTTTACAAAATCCGAATTATTAACCAGTTAATAGTTAATCCGTGTTGTTAACCAGTTATCATAATAGCTAATCTGCATTATTAACTAGTTAATAGTTAATCTGCATTTTAACTGGTTAATAGTTAATTATTAACCATAATAATGCCGATTTTGTAATCAAAGAGAACACTATAATTTCAAGAGAAACATCAAAAGTGCTTTATTCAAAGTAATGTCCATTGCTAGCTACACATTTCCCACAGCTTTCAAGAAATTTGCGGATACAATCCCAATAGAACTTTTCTTGTTTTGAGGCAGACCATTCAGAGACCAAATTTTCTACTTCTTCGTACGTTTTGAAGTGCTGCTCAGAAAGTGTGTGTGCCATTGATCGGAACAAGTGATAATCTGAAAGAGCAATACAACAAAATAGCATACATATCAAACCGCATAAATATCTACATATGTGTAACTCCACCTTTTGAAAAAAACTCTGCATTATTAACCAGTACACCTAGTAAGACATTGTGTATCTATGGGAAATAGTAAGCAATAGCCATATACCTAAGACCTGCATTGGTTTATTTTCAAGCCATCCATAAGGCTCTATGGAATATTTTTAGTGGTGTTTTCTTTCACGTATTTAACCTGCTAGCATAGTTTGAGAATGTGAAGAGCCATATGAGTAGCTACCTATAACACTTAAGTGTCCTTGCAGCAGAAACCAGAGCACATTATAAGAATGTTAGACACTCAGAATCTCAGCCTGAAAAATACATAGAGCATTGCATACTTCCTAAGTTAGATTGCCCAGCCACATGTTAAAGAGATGAACACTTCACAACTTTATAAAGATAACTAGAGTCACGGTACACAAAATTTGTGCATGGGGGTGGGAGGTGTCTCTCAGCCTGGCCTGCACCCTCTCCAATCTGGGACATCCCTCTCACAATTCAAGACCACTGGCCCCTAACCACTCGCCTGCCTGCCTACCTGATGACCCCTAACCACCTCTGCCTGCCTGCCTGATCTCCCTTACTGCCTCTGTCTGCTGGCCTGATCACCACCTAACTGCTCCCCTGCCAGCCTGATGACTCCCCCAACTGCCCTCCCCTGCTGGCCTGATTGCCCCTAACTGCCCTCCTCTGATCACTCCCCTAACTGTTCTCTCCTGCCAGCCTGATTGCCCCTAACCATCTCTGCCTTGGTCCCCACTGGAAGGAAGATGTCCAGTTGACCCGGTCTAAATTAGCATATTACCCTTTTATTAGTATAGATGGTAGATTTTGTAATGTGTTCAAGTTTGCCTTCATCCTCTTTCATAAAAAAAAATAAGTTATAATATACAACTAATGTCAAATACAACATTTAAAATATTTTTTTTAAATGTTAAGATTTTCCCATCCATACCTGGGGCCAGAAAACAAAGGAGGTAAGTGGAAATATCTAGAAATTGAACAAATCATTTTAAGGTTGTTACCCTTAGTTATAACTTTTTATTGCTTATTTGCCTCTATTTTTTTTTTCAAAGTTTGGAAAATGTTGTATATTTATATGGTACTTTTCGGTTTCTAACTTCACATAAATTGTCTCATGAGTCCTTTAAAAAATAATTTAACATGGTATTTGACATGGGTAGAAAGGTAGTTATTCTTCATTTTTTCTTGGGGAGCTTAGCCCACCAGAGTTTGGCTCCCATCTTCAGAGTGCAAGGCAATGTCTCACAAACAAATGAAGTTAAAACCCTTTAGAAAGCATACAGGACTTCATGTCCAGCCTTATGGCAGTCTAGAGATTGTTTGGTTCTCCCACCAAAAGCAACTCAAAATGCTAGATAAAATATGTAAAACATCTTATCAAACACATGAAGAAAAACATAAGAAACCCTCAAGGTCCCAAACCAGGTAACCAGGAACCCCATCAGTAAATGATAGCAATGCAAAGGTGTTTTTTGGTGTGTTTCTTAAAGCTGGTTACAGGAAAGAAAAAAAAAGAAGAAAAAAGAAAAGAAAAAAAAAAAAGGTACCAAGAGCAATCTATCATTTCCTTGTCTAGCAAAATAGTAATTTGTGGGCCGGTGCTCACTGCTCATATTCCCATAAAATGTTGCCTTTGCAACTCCTATACAAAAGCAGAGCCATCTCTAACGTGTCTTTCATTAGATTAGTTGTGGGTAACACTGCAGTTCAGGCCCTTTTTCTGAAGTTGAAGTGAATAACTGAAGAGATTTGAGGGCTGAGAGGAGCTCAGATTCTAAAAAAGTATGGTTTCCTTCAGAAGAATCACATCAACAAGCCACATACATATATGGAAATGTTATGAAAATTGGCTTCAGATCCAGTTTATTTCTCAGACATACAAGTTGCCATCCATTAAACACATTTATTTATTGCTTCTCCATGCCAGCCACATAAATAATCTGCAGAAGGAGAAAGGAGAAAATGAGAGGACTTTCTGGCTTCCCCACAGTGTTTTAGTCCTAGTTTATTTCTAAGGCTTCCTGTATTACTGCCCACAGATTCCATGAGGAATCCTTATACCCGTAAAATAATTCTTCCCACTTTGTGTAGATTTTGAATGGAAAGCAATATATTTTCATGGAGAGATTGGTTTTTGTAGCAATTAAGAACTCAAAATAACAGTAGCTCAAAATAAAATCTATTCCTTTCATGTAAGGGTAAGAGGTCCAGGGTTGATATGGTAGCTTTCTGATCAACACAGACAGACTCCTTCTATCATGTGTCCTCACCAAAATGAACATGTAGTTTCTACCTTATAATCCATGCTGGCTGTTCAAGCTCCAACCATCCCATCCTTCTTTCCAGATAGTAGAAAGGAGTTGGGGGCAGAAAAGAACACATCTCTATTTAGAACACTTGCAGAAATAGTACATATCACTACACTTTCACCTTGTTGGTCAGAAGTTAACCGTAAGTGATGTTGAACATGTAGTCTCTATTAAGTGGCCATGTCCCCAGCAGAAAATCAGTGGTTCTGATATTAAAGGAGAAGGGAAGAATAAATACTGGAGACAATTAGCAGACCCAGCTTATCATCTGAGCTCTGATTTAGGATGAGAGAAATGGCGATGGGGTAGACTATACAAATAGAGTAAAGGTATTGTAAGGAAAACATGCAGTGTGTTCAGTGATGGTGAGCAATCAGATTGGTTAGCACATGGAACAAGTGCAGGTAGATAGATAAGGTAGGAAAATATGTAGGACTCAGAATGCAGAAATCATAAATGCCAGACAAATGTCAGTGGATAGAGCATCGGCCTGTGGACTGAAAGGTCAAGGGCATGTACCTTGGTTGCGAGCACAACCCCAGTAGGGGGTGTATAGGAGGCAGAAGATTGATGTTTCTCTCTCATTGATGTTTCTAGTTCTCAATCCCTTTTCCTCTCCCTTCCTCTCTATAAAAAACCAATAAAATATATTTTAAAAAGAAGAGATTTCCTATAAAATTTTGAGCTGAAGAGTGAAATGTGGAAAATAATGCTTTAGAAAGAGTAATGTGGAGGCAGTATCTTGAACGTACTTGAGTGGGGAATGACTAGAGGCAAAGACATTCCACAGGAAGCTACCATGAGATAGAGAATGCCTATACTACAATAAAAACAGGAAAGGAGAAACATTTCAAGGGGTGAACTTGTCTACTGCCTCTCTCCCTATCTCTCTTCCCACACCCCTCTCTCCCTCCCCCTTTCTTCATGTTCAGCATCCATTATACCTTTTTTGGGATCAGCACAATGACGTTATTTGGGGAAGTGCTTTTTCAATATGTTCCGTTCCTGTGATTCAAATATAACTGAATTTCCCCCACTTCAAGGGCAAGCATGTGACTCAGGTGTAACCAATTCAGGAATTCTCCTGGTCATTATCATTTCATAACAAGCAAATGACTCAAGCAGGACCAACATTCTCAGCCATTTCAGGCAATGGAAAAACGTGGCTTAGAATGGAACTAACAGCAGAAGGCAGATCTGAGAGATAAGAAAACCAAATGTGAGCCTGAAGGGACTAAGACAGTCGGGTTATTTGTAGTTGTTGGAAGATGGAAGCACTCTGGGTATCTACCACCTGGAGAGGGAGTAGGTAAAAAGTGGTAGATGCATATCATGAAGGATTCTGCACAGTGAGAAGAGACTGATTAGAGGGCCACAGAACAATGTGGATGGATCTTAAACATAGTGCTGAGTGAGAAAAAATTAGAATATGATCAATAAATAACATTTAAAATCAACTGTGATCAAAAGAAATCCTATATATGCACAATCAAACCATCTTCGGCTCATTATTATATTGCCAGGATTTTATAACATTGTGCATATATAGGATTTCTTTTTATCACAATTTTTTGATGGTCTTAGGCTCTATAGCAGCGGGGTCTCCTAAGACCATCAGAAAACATATATTTACCTTACGACTCATAACAATAGCAAAATTACAGTCATGAAGTAGCAACGAAAATAATTTTATGGTTGGGGGTCACCACAATATGAGGAACTGTATTAAAGGGTCGAGGCATTAGAAAGGTAGAGAACCACTGTTTTACAGAATAAGGAGGGAAGGAACAGGAAATATACTGCTCACTGCTTTAAATAATGTTTAAAAAATAGTTATACTAAGGTTAGAAAGATGTCCACTGGAACAAAAATACATGTCTTTCAAGTTAAAAAATAAATAAAACATGCATACATAAAGAATATCCAGGCTTCCACGACTATGACTCAGTAGTTGAGTGTCGACCTTGAACCAGTCGGGGCACATGCCCAGGAGCGTGCAGGAGGCAGCCAGTGATTTTGTCTCATCATTGATGTTTCTAACTCTTTCCCTCTCCCTTCCTCTCTCTGAAATCAATAAAAAACATATTTAAAAATATATATATTCAGGCTGTATAGGGAAAAAAGTTAAATGAGCAATATAAACTAAAAGCATAATAACAAAAACATAACTTACTAGTAATATTTATTTTACCTTAAATTTAAAACATAAGCCCATGTGCCAAATGTATGGAATGAAATGCTACAAAGCAGCAGTATCCAAATGACCTAAGTGACCTTGATTAGCTAGAACACAGAAACGTTTCAAGGGGTATCACTGCTAGTAAGGAATTTGGGAAGTTAGGTGTATATGTATGTGTTAACCATAGGTGGAATACTGCAGTCAAAAAGTGGGAAATGCTTCAACACTAATTAAAGACAAAAGAGAAGCCTGATGCTCCTTGCATCAAGCCAGTTTGGGATTTGACCTGTGTAAGAAAGATTTTTTTTTTCCTGGTGTAAGAATGGGAGTTACTGTGGTTGTCAACATGTTCTGAGCCTGTGCCCTTGACCATCACCAGATTGGACAAAGACAAAGCAGTGTGTGCAGTTTGGGTTTATTTTAATGTAGTCAGAAGTCTAGATTATGGGCACTTGTTTAAGAGGTTTGTGTGTAAGAGACATTTTGAGGTCAAGGACTTTGGGGATGAAAGGCTCTCAGAGACCGAACTTAACATACAGTGATCCAGGAGATTGTCCTTTCTTGCTGGTCTGATGAAACATCTGAATATATTGAGCTTGAAATCCCAGGGGAAAAGAAGACCTTTTATTTCAGGAAGCGAAGATCTCAGGCTCAAGACAGGCCAATGAAGTGAGCTCATGGCAACTGTTCTAAGCTTCTTGTAATTAAAGATTTTGAGGAGTTGCTGTACTGCTTTGGTAAAAATTAAGTCCAAATTTCAGATGACATATTTTTATGAATATGAAATATACTTTAAGTTTCTGCAGCTGTTTTTGGTGTGCAAACCTCAAGATGCATTGAGTTACCAAGTAGCTCTCCTATCTGTGCAGCTTGGTTAAAGAAGAATTTCATTTCATAGGCCTGAAAGAAAATTATGCTATTGAAAAAGACACAATCTAACAAGAATTGGAGAAGTGGCATATTAATCGCAAAAACTGTCCTAAATTTCTGTCTACTTGCTTCTCTTTCATGAAACTGCTGAAATCCAGGCTGATAGCAAGTCAATAACAAAAATTTGGAGCAAAAAAATTCAGCTATAAACTGCTTGAATGCAGTCCAGATGTCTCAAGAATTGCTCAAATACATAACTGTGTTGTCATTGACAGCATCAAAATTAATCTGTGAATTTTTGCTTTAGATAGGTATCTGACAGGATCAGAAATACTCTGACATCATCCCCATGTGCAATAAATCTTGCCACATAGGCAGACACTTTTGACTGCAAGGAATGGGTATCTGTCCCCAATGCAAAGCCAGCTCAAGGCCCAGATGATTCAGATAATGTAGAGTCTGACCTTGAGGCAAAGAACTGGAAGTAGTGTGGCAACTATCTAAATATTGCTTAGCATGATATTTTATAAGGAGTAAATGAACAATGTAAACTCTTAGTCTATCTCTTAGGGTCTTAACGTTTCTAGTATATTGTAATTATGAGGCTTCAGGCAAGGCCTAACCAAAAGAAATGAGGAATCCCTAGGTTTAGTTAGCTATATGTGCATTTTTATTAATAGTTGACTAAATAATTTTGAAGAACTTTTTATATATTATCCTTTAAAAATTCATAGTTTTGAATATCAGTAGGAGAGAGAATTTAGGCCACACACCAATGAGTTTCCAATAATCTATAAAATGTAGATATCACTATTCTAAAGAATTAGAGATCGCTTCTAGTGTGAACATGACTAGTTATATTAGTATTTTCTCTTTGTATTTAAAAATTATTTAAGAGCTACAAGTTTAAAAACACAAACTACATTTCCATTTGCCCAAATCCACAACACCCTCCCCCCCCTTTTTTTTTCTGGTAAACTAGGACACAAGTATACTGCTCAGGTCCCAAAACATGTACAAGGGTTGCCAAAAGCAGCTTAGATTAAAGACAAATTGTGTGAAGAAAGAAGAGAGAAGAAGCAGAGACAGAACTCAATAGCAAGAAGGCCCAGCTTAGACCTTGCTAAGCAAAAGTCTGACTCCTAAAGGTAAGGAACACACTCTGAGTTACAGAAACGGTATCCTTTGTTTGCAAAAGGGGGTAGGAAAACTGGGGCAAGCAAACCATGCTGGCAACAAAAGACTTTGCGCCCAGCTGGATTCAAAAAGACAGAGCAATGAGGCCACACAGAGTCACATAGATAGCTCATATTTGCAAGAAGCAATCTGTGCATGCGGCGCGCGGCACAGACCTGTGCTCAGCGAAAACCAGCTCCTTCCCACTGTGCCAGCAACTCTTGCAAAGAGCAGGGCCAGTAAAACACTTCATTAAATGGTGAGATTTAAGAAAGGAAGTAGCACATCACCAATATAAAGATCTGTAACAGAAATGTTGGCAAAACTTAAGATATAAAAAACAGCCAAGACCGGTTTGGCTCAGTGGATGGAGCGCCTGCCTGCGGACTGAAAGGTCCCAGGTTCGATTCCAGTCAAGGGCATGTACATTGGTTGCGGGCACATCCCCGGTGGGGGGTGTGCAGGAGGCAGCTTGTCAATGATTCTCCCACATCGATATTTCTAGCTCTCTATCTCTCTCCCTTCCTCTCTAAAAAATCAATAAAAAAATCAATAAATAAAAAATAAAAGAATCAACCATTGAAAAGAAAAAAAAAGAGAATCAACAAATGAATGTACTGTATAAATAAATGGAACAACAAATTAATGTTTCTCTCTCTCTCTTTCTCTAAAAAAAAAAAAAAAAAAAAAAAAAAATTAAAAAAAAATATAAAAAACACGTTACCCGAAACCGGTTTGGCTCAGGGGTAGAGCGTCGGTCTGCGGACTGAAAAGTCCCAGGTTCGATTCCAATCAAGGGCATGTACCCTAGTTGCGGGCACATCCCCAGAAGGGGGTGTGCAAGAGGCAGCTGGTCGATGTTTCTCTCTCATCGACGTTTCTAGCTCTCTATCTCTCTCCCTTCCTCTCTGTAAAAAATCAATAAAATATATTTTAATAAATAAATAAATAAATAAATAAATAAAAAGCACTTTACCAGTAAAATGTTTCTTTGGTAGATAACATTTTTTGAAAAATATATTCCCCTGAATTAGTCTAAAGTTCATCTTTTAGTAGTTTTCTAAAGAAAAGTTCATAGTAACAATGTTAGCTGGGTTTTGCATATTAAAACTGTCTATAGTTTTCATGCTTGAAATACAGTTTGGCTAGATATAGTATTTGTGTTCACTTTTTGTATTTGAGTATCTTGTATATGTTACTCCAGGGTCTTCTTGTTCTGAATGTTGCTGTACAGAAATCTAAGGACATCCTATTTCCCCTTTATAAGTAACTCAATAATGTGTAATGTACCCCCCCCCCAATTCAGGGGAATATATTTTTCAAATGCTAAAGTACAGCATAGAAACTATAGTCAATAATACTGTAATTACTATGTATTATAGTTAGATACTAGAGTTATTGGGGTGATCACTTCATAAGATATGTAAATGTATAATCGCTATTCACACATCTGAAACTAATATAATATTGTATGTCAACTGTAATGAAAAATAAATAAAAAATTGAAAAAATTAAATGATGAGATTAATAATAATTAACAAAAATTAATATATGACATGCAGTCCTATTGACTACAGTCCCTATGCTGTACTTTAGGTCCCCATGACTGTTTTTATAACTGGCAATTTGTACTTCTCAATCTCTTTCACCCTTTTCATTCAACCTCCCCCCCACCCCCGACACCCTTCCCATCTACTATCAATTTGTTCTCTGAATCTATGAGTTTGTTAGATTATAGTTTGTTTTAATTTGTTTTTTATATTTCACATATAAGTGCAATAATATGGTATTTGTCTTTATCTTATTTCACTTAGCACAATACCTTCTAGGTCCATCCATGTTGTCGTAAATGATAGGTTTTATTCTTTTCTTTGGCTGAGTCGTATTACATTGTGTATATATACCAATCTTGTTTACCCACGTGTCTATTGGTGGACACTTAGGTTGCTTCCATGTCTTGGCTACTGTAAAGAACATTGCAATGGTTTTCAATGATATTAACTTGAGACTAATAATCTTTCTTTAGTCTTAGTTCTTGGTTATTTCAATAAATGTTTTAGGCTATCCTTCCAACACCATAGTCTTTCTTTTTTTTTTTAACTCCTCCACATTTCTCACCATACTTCAGTCACTCACCTCATAATCATGCTCTATACTTTGTCATTATCAATAATCTCAGTTTCATTATTCTATTTTCTGATATCTCAATGTCTATTCTTCCAATTTACTTCCTTTAGTGGCCCAACTCCAACAATCCTTTGATCCCTAATCAAGAGGAAAAAAGTTATTCATTTCAGCACTGTTCTCAACAGAAGAATATTGGAAACAAATCAAATGTACATCTTTAAAGGCATGGTTCAACAACTAAGAAAGTGGGCAGTTACTTAAAGGAAATTGGACTGTGTTAAGGGGGCTGTCAGTCAGGGATGCCACCCACCTCTGATGACTCAGCAAAGAAGGAACCATGGAAATAAGTACCAAACCTCTCTCTTTTCATTGTCTCCTGTTTTCTAACAGTGACTCATAAATTGAATAATTATTAAATTGCCTTTTTTAGGCCACTTTGAGAAGAGATAGGTATCCAACTTTGGCTATTATTAGGCAGGGTGCAGGTTTCATCTAAGAATTGGTGTCAGATCTTGCCTAAGGAGATGGATCCCAATTTGAGAGCCACTGAATTCTTGAGAATCCTCAAAGGTAATTAGGGGCTCAAAGAACTATTTTCAACATTTCAAAAAGCATATCACATAGAAATTGTACATTTATCCTTGATAATACTGTGGAAGCTGACAGAAATGTATTTCCAGCTCTGAGCTGGTTGGGTATGAATTCATACTGATCAGCAGTGTGATAAGTGGTTTCATACAATGTTGATTATTAAATAAAGGAAAAACATTCTTAAAGACACAAAGGCCACAAGTGCAGATTCTAAAACAGAGAAGTTCTAGAGCCTTTCCTGATTTTAGATTCACTGAATCTAGGAGGTATAGTCTATAATTTATTAAATTATTTTATCCCTAAAAATCACAAAATTTAGTCCTTTATTAGGCTAAAATAACTAAGATATAAATGTAACTTTTTCATCTGGAATTATTAATTAATTTTTCAGACTTTATATATATATATAAAAGCCTAAGCAACCAAATGATCAGTTGACCAATCGCTATGATGCGCATTGACCACTGATCAATACATAGGATTGGACTCCCCCCTGTCTGGATCAGGCCTATGGGTATCGAGCCAAAACTGGCTCTCCAACATCCCCCGAGGGGTCCTGGATTGTGAGAGGGCACTGGCCATCTAAAGGAACCCCATCAGTACAGGAATCCATGCACCAGGCCTCTAGTATGATAAAGTGGCATAATATATGTGCATTAAATATATTAAATGGTATCACATAAAATAAAGGCATAATATATTACTCTGATTCTAAATTCAGTGGTCAGATGCACTTACTAAATTCTAGAAGCCTCCTTTCTTTCACTCAGCATTGCTAGTCAAGCATTTTAACGGCTAAGTTACATTAATAATTTTGTCATTCCTATTTGGTCTGATCAATATTTTACATAGTTTCATGCAGAATTTGATTTTTATTTTATTGCAGGTCTATGTTATTAAGCTTCTCTGAGAAGTAAATCAGCAGGACAGCAGAATAACGAATATTTTGTGTTCTATAATAAAATCTACTGTCTGAGAGGTTAGTTGATGCTTAAAGTGTTGAATTTAGTAGAGTCATTGAAGTTGCGGGTTTCAGAAATGCCATAATTAAGCAGTCTCAGGGAAGAGGAGGAAGGAAGGGTACCAGAGTGATCTTCAGAGGCTGTGTAGTCTCTTGGAGACAGAGGGGACATCGCCTAGAAAAGAGGGGAAGCAGACGGAGTCCCTGCTGTTTCCCATAAGGGGTCATTACCTTCAAAGCTGTCAAGATGTCAAAGCATTATCAAGACAAAAGTGTAAGACAAAAGAGCTTTCCTCTAAAACACGCCTGAAACCTGTGTGGTGGTGGCCTTCTTATCATTGAACACTTCACACGCCCTGCCAGCAAACGCACAGAGTCCTCCTCAAGCTCCCACCCTGAGGCCAAGACCTGACTAATTACATCTGCTCAGGAGAGGGCTCCGGAAAGGCAGGCCGGGCAAAGTCAGATTGCATAGAATTTCATTTCTTTCCTTATTCCATACACTGACAAGATCATTCACATGGAAACGCTTTGGGGCATATGCAAAAATGGAAAGCAATCTCTCCGGGTTGGGAGCCTCCCGGGAGAGTAGCCTGCCTTAGCGATGCTGCAGACCTCCCTCTGCAAAGCCAGCAGCTCCCTGGCAGGGGCACAGGCTCAGAACTGCCAGACCCCGGGACAAGTGCAACAGGGCATAATTAATGCAGTCACAGGATCAGGTTAGCAAGCTCCAGACTGGCCGGCATGGAGAATGATTTTAAGTCAGATCTTCCCTTTCAGCACTTTTAAAATTTGACCTCCAGAAGGACTTATATATACACATATTGTTGACGGATAATTTCTATAATATGGAAAACTGGAACAACCTGCATGTCCATCCATTAGGAAATGGCAAAATAAATTATGGCAGCTCCATTCTCTAGAACCTTAGATATTGTTAATAAGAATGACTTTGATCTCAACATGCTGACGGGGGTAATGGCTATGATTTTTTTTGTTAACAAATATCAGGACCATGTGTATACTATTCCATTTTGCAAAGCAAGTGAGTTGGATGCAATCATTGAGCACCTTCTCAGACCATGACCACTGCCTTCGCTGAGCTCCCTGAGGTGGCTGAAGTTCAAGTTGGAACCCTGGGCCTGCCTAGCCTTTACTTCCTCCACGATGGGCCCTGTTGGCATTACATCATCATCCTAGATTGGGATGAAATGCCACACCATGGAGTATGGGAACTGGCTTACTGAATGGCTGGCTGCCAAGGGCTGAAAATATAAGGAGTTCCTCCCTCTGGGGTGAAACCTGGCTGATGGAAAATGAAAGGCAGGAGGGATCTGAGCAGAAAACCTGGCTCCCCGCTCCCTGCAGTGGGCTGCCCCGAGCGTGGTTTCTTCTTGCAGCCTTTCCCGAGGAGTCCCGAGTTCCAAGTGGACACACCTGCCAAGCACCTGCCATGTCGTTGCCAATTCCTGTCACACCAAGTTGCTTTGCCTCTTTATTACCTTCCATCTATTGTTTCCTCCTCACCACCATCTGTGGCTGCACTTTAATCCTTTTTTTGTCGTATGTGTGTGTGTGTTTAAAGCATTTTGCCTTTTTTTTTTTTAATTGACTCTAGAAAGGGAGGGAGGGAGGGGGAGAGAGAGAGAGAGAGAGAGAGAGAGAGAGAGAGAGAGAGAGAGAGAGGGAGAGAGAGAGAGAGATCAAAGTCTGGGAGACATATCAATCTGGTGCCTCCCACATGCTTCCCCTCAGGGGATCAAACCTAAGACCTAGGTACTGCACTGACCGGGAATTGAACTATGACCTTCCAGTGCACAGGAAGATGCCCCAACCAGCTGAGCCATACTGGCCAGGGCACTCACCTTAATCCTTGTGTCTGCTTCTCCTGTGTCTCGCAGTGTTTCCCAAAGTGTGGTACACGTACCCCCAGGGGTATGGGAAGAGTTTGGTGGGGGTACGCATTGCACCGGAGTTTGGTGGGGATATTCACTGCACCGTGCTTAGCTGCGCCTAATTCTACGTTCTCATGAGTACGAGGGGTACTCAGCATTATGAAAATTATAGAAGGGGTACACATATGTCAAAAGTTTGGGAAACACTAGAGGATCCAGGCTAGGAACACAAGCAAACTGGATATTGAAGCTGTAACTACATTTTTGTTGAATGTACACACACACAGATGCATACACCTTTGTCTTTGGAAATGCATAGAAATGTAAATGTGAAAATGATACACATCAGACCTTACCCAACGGTCTGCTTATGCTGCTTATATTTTTTAAAGAACATGTATTACTTTTGTATATTAAATAAATTATACCATAAAATCATGCCACATATTAACAAGCCTAGCATACACTTTCTTGTTTTGCCCTTTTGCAGGCTTTAGTGTATTAACAAATCATTGCATTTTTCAGGCAAAATTAGCCTATGAGATTACTAAACTTTAAAATCTGGGTGTGACAGTTGGCCACTTCCCTCAATCACGCACTCAGACCCAGTCACCGCCACCTCCGCACACACACTTCTTCCTTGCCGGCAGACCCCAGTTATGTTTGTATCTGCCCTTCCAGTTGTTCCCCTGGTCATTGTTGTGGGGACGAACCCTGGAGTCAAAAATAAGACCACCAGAGGCTGCTAATTGATTTAAAAAGCAGGCAAGGATTTATTATGCTCACCAGCAACGTCCACGAGAGCACCACACGCAGGTGGAGTCCACCCTCAAGACTGTGTTGTTCCAGGTGTAGGCAGTTCTCTTAAAGGTCTAAACCACCAAAATTTCCTTTGTTCTTAATTCTAAATTCTAAATGCTGGGAACAGCCTGAAGGGTCGTTCCCAGCCACATCCTGCTGGACATTGGAATGTGGACCTAAGCAGATAGTACAGAAGCAGAACTGAGCAAAGTTAATTTCTAAAGGTTATCTGCAGTTTCAACTCCTGGAGCTACTGAGTCAATAGGAATCAATCTCCTGTGAATCTGGTCCACAGGCACAGAAAAATTGCCTTAGCTTCCAGATCTCAATCTGGAAGCTGAGGTAACTACCCTATTGTTTAAGCAAGCAAGTGAGTGCAGAAGCCAGAATAGCAGGGTTAAAATTCAAACAGCAGTTTTTACCTAAGTATGGTTGCTACCATACCTCAGTCATCTTGGGAGAATGAGGAACAGCCCTCTCTGTACCAAAAAAGTGCAGAGAAGCAGGTCAGAGCCATGTTATCATCAGGGCAGTGTATTAGGCAACCATGAGACTACCTCAGAATTCTTGATTTGTGAATAATAAATGGGCTCCCTGTTTGAGATTTTAAATTGAGTACTTCATTAATTGTCTTCAAAAGCCTCGTGGGCTGACTATATATCTATGTATGGGTGTGTGTATCTAATTTTATGCATAATAACATATGCATACATACACATATACGTATATTCTGGTGTCACGTATCTCACTAGAGACTGAGGTAATAGCTATCTTACTGATCTTCATATTTACAGCCCCTAACGTGACTGATCATACTGGGCACTCAGCAAACATTTCTAGAACTGAACTGATTAGATCCATTCATCTCAATCTACAGTTTGTATAGTACACATCTACCAGTCGATTAAAGGAATAGCTGAGAAGGGAGGGTACACCAAATAAAATCTGAATCATTTCCTATTCAAAAGCTTAAGGCTATCAGTAAAGTTACTATAAAAAAATAATCACCAAGTTGCATTATTTAAATCCTTACATTACACTGGATATTCCAAACGATAGCAACAAATTCCAATGAGAAATAAAAGATCAGACTCCTGTTTCCATATTTATTTCCAGAAATAACCAATGAAACACAACTTTTTTAAAAAAAAATCTTGTAAGGTAATCCCGGTGTTTGAAGAGTATAAATCAGATATCGCAACAATTGGACCTGACAAGTCACCAACAAAGAATCAAGGTTGGTGGTGGAAGTAGCAATTACCACATGAGAGCTGTGACCTAAATCAAGGCTCGTCCTAAACCTGGCTGACAGCCTTCCCCTTAAGAAGCTCCAGAATGGCAACAGCAATCCATAGCCAACTGTAAATTACAGGCGTGAGTGGGGAAAACAGTGACACGGGCAAATAACATTCACTTGTGCAATTTTTGTTGTGCCAGTCTATGTGCCAGGATATGTTCTCAGGGCTTGGAATTCGACAATGAAACAAAGGGATAAAAAAACCCCGCCCACATGGGGTTTATGTGCTAGAGTTGGGGGAAGTTGGTTTGGGGGGGAGGGGATAGGGCATTTACCAAAAATTTCAAAAATTAGTTTTAGGCTTTAGTTTTCTAGCAAGGCTAGCTCTGGTTTCAAAACAAAACAAAACAAACAAACAAAAAACTTATCAAAGCAACAAAGTTCTGTTATTTTCTTCCCCCAACACTCTCTTTCTGGTCCTGCCTGGTCCTCTTTGCATCATGGTTAGCAGCTTCCCGGCTCTCACCCCCTCCGCACTACTCACTCTGGGCTGTATGTCTGATCAATGGAATCTCATGCTCGTGGGATGGAGCCCACTCACTGTTTTTCTTGCTTGCTGTTTTCTCAACAGCTCCCAGATAGTTCAGATGATCAGCCAGCCTGCTCCAGTCCCCTCTCTCTTCCTTGTTACCACCCATCAAACTTCAGCTAATTTGTGTTTTTCCCCCAGGACATGCTCACTACTAAGTGTTACCTTCTTGTAATAACTGCATAACCCTAACACGCTCTGATATGGCAGAGTGCGTTTGTATTGAGGTGTCAAACATACGAGCAGAGCATGTTCACACACAGCGACCATTGCTACCCCAAGGGACAGCGAGGGCGGTTTCATTTTCCTTTTTGTTCTCTGGAAGACGCCCAGCGCAGGGGAAGCTGAGTCCTTTGCCAGGGTCAGTCAGCGGGGAAGAGCAGAGTCCGCATGTGGATCCTTCCAACTCCTGGACTGTGCCGTTTCCTGGTTCCTGTGTGCTCTCCTCTCCAGATAAGAATTTGAATTATTTTGATAACATTTCCTTATAACTCTAATGGTGGAAACGCCAGGCGCCAGGGCGGGCCGACGGGAAGAATCCCGTGCCAGGCGTGTCTTCAGTGTCTTAAATCAACTGGGTAGAATTTCTGTCCCACCTTCAGGGAGAGCCAGAGCTGTCAGACTCGCTGTCAAGTCATAGATGGCTAATTTAGCCTCTCGAAGATAGCCTGTGGGCCGTGTTTGTTGGCAACTGGGCTAGTTTCTGTCCCTTCCCGTGCTGCTGCTGCTGCTGCTGCTGCTGCTGCTGTTGGCTCGTTCCCCACGGTCTGGCCATGGGGAGCCACACGCTCCCCTCCGCTCAGGAGTCAGCATCCAGATGGTACCACTCTTTCCTCCCTTCTCCCCACATCTGAGATCCCTGATGTGACCATGTAACTACATGCCCAAATCAGAGCAATTTGGGAGAAACAGAGGGCACTATGAATACTTATGGCTGGACCACGGGTGTGAGCCAGGATTGCCCGGGGAAGCCAGGCCCCTGCTTCTCACCACCCAACAAGGGGTGAGAACTTTGAAAGAAACAGCTGACTGAACTGAAGTTTGTCTTCCTTCCTTGGTCTGCTTCTGATAAAGGTCCCAGCACATACAAACGTCTCCTTACGTCACACCAAAAGGAACTATTCCTGAGAGGCTGCATGCAATAGAAAGCATAGGAAAGTTTGTTCCGAATTCTTTGGAAATGAAAAGAAAAAAAGAAAAAAAGCCTTTCACAATGTATCTTCCCATCCCTAATGTAAGATGGTAACATTTAAATTTTCTATAATAGTTTCTTACTAGATAGTAATCTACACTGGTCCTGGTTCCACGTGGTAGCATCTTTAATTCTCCCAGAATCCCTGGGTGGAGCAGGGTAACACAGAGCACACTGGCCATGCTGCTCACCGGGCAACCACATCCATCCTCCCATAGGGTTCGCTTTGGGTCTAATACTGCAAAGTTACTTAGGCTCATTGTGCAAAAAATGGACAAATATAGGAAAGTTAAAAGCAGAAAAACAAGACATCCACAATCGTCACTTCGTGAGGAACTAGTACTGGCATTCTAGTATATTGAGCTTTTTTGACTTGTGATCATACTGCAATAAAATATATCTTGCTTTTCACTTACCTTACAGCACATCTATTTCCTTATATTGTTGTAAATTATTTAAGAGTTTTAAGTAACGACACAGTAATCTAGTATATGGAGAATGTATTGTTTCTTTAATTATTACCAACCTGTAGGGCATTTAGGTTGTTTCCAACTTCTTGTTATAAATAATGCAACAATGAGCACTTCATACTGAAAGCCTGTATGGTACCTTGTGTTATGGTACCTTACAGCTGGAAACTATTTTAAAATTTATTAATAGTTTAAGATTCTTATTAAATATCACAAAATGCCTTCTCCCAGGTTTTCATTCGGCTTATATACCTGTGAGCAATGAGCATGAACCCCACCTGCACAGAGTGCTTTCATATTGCATTCCTTTGTTTTCTAGAGAGGTGTGGCTGTTTCCCATATACTGGTGAACTAATTATATTTCCTATTCCATGAATCATTTGTTCATACCATTTGTGCACCACAAGTTTTACTAACACACGTTAGATATATGCGTAGCATACCTTAAAATGTTCTTTATGTACAGACTTGATCAAAATAACAAAAAGATACACTAAGAATTATTACATGAATTATGGAATGAGAACAACATACACTGAGTGGCCAGATTATTATGATCTCTGAACGTATAATTATCTGGCCACTCAGTGTATATCCTACATAATAAAAGGCTAATATGCAAATTGTCCCCTTGACCAGGAGTTCGACCAGCAGGTAAGCCCGCCAACCGCCGATGTCCCCTCCCCCAGCCAGGCTAGCTGG